ATACCATACTCATGGACGTTGTTGTTGTTGTTGTTGTTGTTGTTGTTGTTAAGTGCCGTTGAGTCGCAGGCGACTCATAGCGACCCTATGAAGGAGCGTCCTCGACGCTTGGGTGCCTTTCATCCTCTCTCCAGGTTCATAGGATTTCCGGAGGCAAGCTATTATGGAAGTGGATGCCACTCCTCCTTCCACGCTTGTTTAATCGAGGAGCTCCACCCCACTCTCTGTCCGCATTGGGTAGCCAATAATTAACGCATTTGACACATCCGTGTCACAGTGTTCAGCCTCACGGCAAGCACAAGTGACCACGGGATGGCAACTTGTACACCAGGGCTATACGACCTAGAGGAATGTCTGAACAAAAACAATGAAAGACAGACCTGAGAGCCACAGATTAAAAGTCACCCACCTTGGTCTTGGTCACATCGTTTTCTCATCACTGGGCCAGCTGATCTCTCTCTTTCTCTCTCGGTACTCATGGATAGGAAGACTAAATATTGTTTTTTGTTTTATTTTTGTTATTGTTGGTTTGGGGGAGGTTATATAGTTTACAATTCAGATTGAAAACAGGATACAATCCTTCAGTCAGTATGACATCTCAGGTTTACTCACAGGCCCTTTGACCTTCAGCCTCATGACTTTGAGGCAGTGTTACAAAACTCTTAGCACTGCCAATTATGATGTCATCCTCCCCAGTCCTCTATGATGCTTGAGAGAACATGCTGGCTCTGGCTCTGTGAGCTTTCCAGGTCAGCTCTGTCTCATATCAGTCTCTGGTTCTCCACTGAAGCTTCTATTGTGTCTCAACCTCTTTCTCACTGGTATTAAGATTCCCCATTTCTGCCATAGTGTCCAATGGACCCTCACAACCTTCTCCAGGCCCAGGATCCTCAAATCATCACGTTTCCATAATTCACAAGAGGCAACAATTTAGGGCACAGATCAGGAGTGTCCGCACGTGGAGCTAAGGATACTTCTTAGGAGTCTTACTCTTCTTAGAGGGCAGGACCATGGAAATGGAGAATATGTGAGTGCAAGTTGGTGATACCAGAGGCTGCTGGTACTTTCTTAAGGCTTGAGGAAGGGGTTATGAAGGGTTATGAGAGGGTGTGGGCACTTTGGCTTGGTTTCTCCTTTGGCCATGGTCAATAGCTGTGAATTTCCTGATATTTGGGGTGCTCTTGTCTTGGCATCACAGTGGTTGTACCCTCTGCAATCTTTGAGATGCATGAACAGCAGAGATGGTCTTGGCCTGCACGCTAGGAGTTGCGTCTTGGAGACTGGATCTCCAAGTGGCCTGTTATCATGCCTGGCCACCAGCCTGGAATCCCTTGTCATGCTCACCACTGCTTTCTTCCCAGTGATGTGTTGAGAACAGCTTTCAGGTTTCCCAAGAGCTGGAAGTCATAAGATCAGGAAGAAGGTGGCTGGTCCCTGGAGACCTCCTAAGAGGCAGGGCAGGGATTTTCTCCCCAGGACACTTTTTTATTATAAAAATGTTATGTTGTGCTGGTTTACTTACAAAGATCATATACATTTTTTTCCACACCAGGTCTTTCCCTTTTCCTTTACCCAGTTCTCCCTCGATTCATCAAATTGTGTGAATGTATGACTAACCGTCCCCCTGACTCCCCATCCTCATCCCTCTGCTCTCCCTCCTCTGCCTTGGCTTCTCATATACCTTCTACAATAAGGGTCTTATACAGTATTTCTCCTTATGGGACTGAGTTAGTTCACTTAGAATAGTGCTCTCCAGTCCCTCCTAAGTTAGGTAGTAATTTACAGAATCATTGCTCCTGCGTGCTGCATCATATTCCATTGTGTGAATGTACCATAATTTCTCAATCCATTTGATTATAGTTGGGCATTTGACTCTTTTCTTCCTAGGGTGAATAATGCTGCTCTGAACATTGGTGTACAAGTATCTGTTTGTGCCTCAGTTCTAATTTCCTCAGGGTATAATTTAAGCAGTGGAATAGCCGGATCATATGGAATTTCTGTGTTAAGCTTTTAGAGGAAATTCCAAATTACCTTCCAGAGTGGTTGTTCCATTTTACAATCCCACCAACAATGTATAAGAGTTCCTAAATCACCACCATCCTCTCCAACATTTATTATTTGCTGTCCTGCTAAACTTTGCCACTGGTACTGGGGTAAGATGGTATCTCATTGTGGTTTAGGTTTGCATCTCTCTGACTGCCAATGATTTTGAGCATTTCTTCATGTGTCTGTTAGCCAACTGAATTGGGAAGTCTCAATATTGTGAAAATGACAATTCTACCAAAGGCAATCTACAAGTTCAATGCAATCCCAATACAAATATCAACTCCATTCTTCAACAAGATGGAAAAGAGAATTTCTAATTTTATCTGGAATGGAAAGAGACAATGAAGCACTCCTGAAAAAAGAGAAACAAGATAGAAGGCATCTCACTCCTTGATCTCAGATGCTATTACACGGCCGTGGTGGTCAAGACAGTGTGGTACTGGTACAGTGGTAGACACATAGATCAATGGAATAGATTGAAAACACAGAAACCAGCTCATTACCTACAGTCAAATGATTTTTGACAGGGAGACAAAATCAGTTAAGTGGGGAAACAAAAGCCTCTTTAACAAATGGTGTCATCAAAATTGGAAAACTATCTGTAGAAAACTGGAGCAAGACCTACACCTCAAAACCCAACTCAAATTGGATCAAGGACCTTAGAGTAAAACCATGGAGTATAAATTTCATCAGAAAAAAAAGCCTGAAGAACTCTGGAAGCCCTAATTCACAATATGAATAGTCTTCAAACATACTGAAAAAGCTACAACCAGGAAAGAATAAATTGGATGAATGGGACCTTCTAAGAATCAAATCTCTGTGCACATTAAAAAAACTTCTCCAATAGGGTAAAAATGAAAGTTACAAACGGGGAAAAATACTTGGTAATGATATGCCTGATAAGCCACTCATATCTAAAATTTATATAATACTCTAGTACCTCAACAAGATAGTGGTAAACAATCCAATCACAAAATGGGCCAGGATATGAACAGACATTTCACCACAGACATTCAGATGATGAACAAACACATGAAGAAATGTTCAAAATCCCAAGCTCTAAGAGAGATAGAAATACAAATCAAAACAACTATGAAATATCATCTCATCCCAGTAAGAATAGCAAAATTCAACAGAGCAGCAAACAACATGCCGGCAAAGTTGTGGAGAAATTTGAATCCTTATTCACTGTTGGTGGGAGTGTAAAGTGATGCAACCGTTATGGAAGGCAGTATGGCACTTTTCAAAAAAGCTGGAAATAGAAATATCATTTGACCCAGCAATTCCACTACTTGGAATATACCCTAAAGAAACCAGAACTGACACCCAAACAGGTATATACACCTATGTTTATTGTTGTGTTGTTCACAATAGCAAAGAGATAGAAGCAAACCAACTGCCCATCAGTAAATTAATGAACAGAGAAGCTGTGGTAAATTCACACAATGGAATACTACGTAGTGCTAAAAAAACAAGGAACTCATAAAATAGTATACAACACGGGTAACCATGAAGGACATTATGCTGAGTGAAATAGCTCAGTCACAAAAGGAGAAATACTGTATAACACCACTGTTATTTCACAATACTGACAATGGGAGTAGGGGAAAAAATGAAGAAAAAAGGGAATAAATAATGAACACTGCATTGGGACAGATGAATGAAAGAACCATTTAAAAGGAATATATGATTAGGCATTGTTTGCATGACAATAGTCCTGAAAAGGTGCACAGCAAAGAGGACTAGGGTGGGGAACAAAAGATTATACAACAATCAATGAATGTGTGTGTGTGTGTGTGTGTGTGTGTGTGTGTGTGTGTAAAAGGGAACTGGGGAGCAGGGAGAAAAATGTACAACAATGAATGAATGGAAATGAAAGTTTTCTGTAAACTTTTGTTAAAATCACAATAAAAATTATTTTTTAAAAAGGAAGTGTCTATTAGGTAAGGAAGTTGAATGTGTTAGAACGCATGTGGTTAAAAACAAGCAAACTAAACTGTCTATTTACATAAATGTGTGACTCTGTTTGTCAGGGATATCATTTGCCCAGTGTAGACAGGCAGAAAGACCACACCAGCTTTATCCTTTAACCAAAGAACACTTCTGAAATCAATGTGTCCAAGCATGGGTTACCTCAGTGGCCTATCTTTACACAGTAAGAGATAGCAAGAGCAGCATACATTTCTGAACAATTTTAAATGCCAGAGATTGATATTGGCTTGTAAAATGGAATGCCTCCTGGTTGCACAGTGGTTAAGTACGTGACAGTAAATGGAAAGGTTGGCAGTTCAACCCCCCCAACTATTCCTCTGGAGAAAGCTGTGACAGTCTGTTTATAAAGCTGGGTCTCGGAAAGCCTGTGGAGCAGTTTCCTGACATAATCCACAGCGGATCGCACTCCTAACGCAAAGGCGAGGCCACCCGGGGTTCAAATCCACTGGTGCCTCCACCAGAGAATGACGGGGGATCCTCTCCCTGTACCAGTGAGCCTCAGGAGGAATGAAGAGTCCACCATGGGTTGGTTCCTAGTGGAGGGCCATTATTTTTTTGAGATAATGTTGTAACATATTAGAATTGAAAGGACAGCTTTAGGCTTGGCTTTAGATGTAAAACTGGAAAAAATAAAATAAAAAACACCTTGGGATTATTAAAATCTACATAAAAGCCACACTTGAAGCGATTCATCATTTTCCTAAATCAGCACGTCAGAGCTGGCCTGGTGCCTCCTATGACAGCACTGGTTCCTCACCAGCGGCCGAACACCCTGCAGCACACCTGATGGCCTGGAAGGCTGTCTCATCTCTGTCCTGAGCAGCAGTTCAGCACTTAACCTGAAACACCACCAGGGCTGAGCTTTCCTTAAATGCCCAACAGCACTGTTTAGACACACACATACACAGCATGGTAGCAAGATAGTCAGACCAGAACGGCATCCGTCTCCTAGGCACACCTACCTTCCCGGCCTTGTTGACAGCCAATCTTGCTTAATACATCTTCCACTGAATTTTCAAAAAGTAGGTACACATTTTGAAGCAAGCCCTGTAAACACACACAAAATGAGGACAAATGTCAAACTTCTGATGTCAAGCTACACGGCAACATAAGGCACAAAATGTCATCTTAAGCTGGTCATGGTTGTTTCTTCTGTGTAATACACTCTGTAGTATACTCCACAGCTTTGGGATCTATGTAATGGGTCATCATCCCCATTATATATGAACCTGAGAACGTTATGCTTGGGTGTGACACAGGTAAAGGCCAACAGAAGAGGAAAAGCCCTGCAGAGAAGAACGCAGGTGGCTCAGAGCAGCAGGCACGCCTTCTGTTCGGACCTCTCTGGCTAACCCTCCCAGAGCGCTCCTTCCTTGACAGGATGATGCTGACCATTCTGGTTGCCTCTGGAGCAGTGTCCCTGGTCCAGCACACTGTGGGAGCAGTGACCCTTGCTGTGTGAATGGTCATTGTTATGACAGGAATTGGTCATCCCAGTCAGACACAGGGACCCTGATGGCTATGGGATAAACCACGTATCTCGAGGCCTCATACTCAACTGGGAGTGAAATACACCCACTTCTGGAAAAGAAGTCGGCTGACTGCTGCTGTGGGTCCCAAACAGCACGCTTTCAGAAAGTCCTTCTTCCTAAAACACCTCACTCTATGGGAACATGGAGCTAGGGCCTCACACGCACAGTCCTTTTCCTAGCAACGGGGCATGTGTCAGCTCATCTCTTCAACACACCCAGGAATGCGAGTTGTTCTGACTCTAACAAAATGAGCCAGGGGTGGCAGAAGCAGGGGAATGGGTTCACCCTCGACTGTCAAACGTGTGCCCGGTGTCTGTGGAAGTCAGGAAGCAGTGGTGGAGGTGAGAGCGTGTCCCTGTGCTCATGTGCTCAGAAACAGGTGTGCGCACTTGTGATGCATGAACTAGTGTACAGATGTGACTGTGAGTGTGTGAAATGCCTGAGTGTGGGGATGGGTGTGAACGGATCCAAGCATGCTTGAGGGTATGTGTTGTGTCTTAGCAGAACACGTATGTGCATTTAAGCATGTGGAAGAATGGGAGTGTGTGTGAATGGGTGTGTATTTTAGTACATGATTGTGTGTTTCTGTGTGTGCTGTGTGTAACTGTAAGTGTGCATGAGCCTGAGAGTGTGGTTTGTAAATGTGCGTTTGTATGTCAGCGAGTATATTATGTATCTGGTGCGTGTGTGTAGTGTGTGTGTTGGCCCGTCTGCATGAGTACGTGTGTGATTGTACATGTATGTAAGTGAATGTGTGTGGGAGAGTAAGTCTGTCGGTGTTCTGTGAAAGTGTGTGTGCTGGGGTTTACACGAGTGTGCAGCGCATGTATGTGAATGAATGCACGTGGCCCATGAGGGTATGATGTGTGCTGCACGTGTATGAGTGCATGCTGGGGAGCGTGTAGATATGGGGGGGATGCAGTTTGTAGTACGTGTGCATACGACCATGTGCGAATGAGTGAATGAGTGTGCATGCTGTGGGGTGTGGATGTGGGTGTGCATGTGTCCATGTGCAGTGTGTGGCACATGTGTGTATGTCCATGAGGGTGTGTGGTGTGAGAATATGTAGTGCACGCATATGAACAAATGGAGGTGTATGCAGTGTGAATATGTGTGCGTGTCTGCATGAAATATATGTGAAGGTGCAGTGCGTGTGTAAATGAATGGGTGTACGAACATCCTGTGTGTGTGTCATTGTGGTGGTGGGCACATACATGTGAGTGTGCATGCATGCATGTGAGCATGAATGTATAGTATGTGTGGTCGACACTCGTATAGGGTACACATGTGAACACACAAGTGTCTGCGGTACGTTAACATTTACGTGTTTGTGGTCAGTTACCTGTAAGTGTGTAGTGCATGCCTGTCATGAAGGCACATAGAAGTGTGGGAGGTGCATGAGTGTGTGGGGTGGTATGTGCACAGTGCACGTGTGGGAGTGAATTACTGTGTCTATGTGATACGGTACACAGATGGCATGCACGCCTGTGAATGGAGAAGTATATGTGGCATGCGTGAGCATGTACGTGTGTGTGTCTGTGTGTGCTTTGGTACCTGTGTAATGTGTGTGTGAGAGGATGAGTGTGATGTGTGTATGTGTACTGTATATCTCTATGTATGGTTACATGTATGTGTGAACAGTCAACTGTGTGTGTGTGTGTTTGTATAAGAATGTGAGTTTTTAGCTTGTATGTATGGTACCCATATGTGCCATGCATGTGTGTGAATGGTCAAACGTGTGTGGTGTGCATGTGAGTATGTAGTGTGATACATGTGTGTCATTCACATATGTGAATGACCAGGTGTGTGTAGTGTGTGCTGTGGGTGGTCAGTGTGTGTTGCAGCACATGCTGGTACACACATATCCACAGTGTGTGCACCTACATCTGTACGTATGTCAAGTTAGTGTGGGAAGTTTGTGTGTGTTGTGGCACATGACGTGTGTATAGTGCATGGTTGTGTCTCTGTGGTGTGGCATGTGCACATGAGTAGACGAATGCCTGTGGCTTGTATGCGTGTGAAATGTGTGTGGGGTTTGGGGGTTTGTAGCGCACGCACATGAATGGACAAAGTGTATGATGTCTCATCTATGCCCTCCTCCATAATCAAACACAGGTGTGCCCTAAGAGACTGTCAGTCAAGCCCAGCATGTCCCGGGCTGCCCACTATCCACGCACCCTGAAGTGACTCTCTCGGGAGGAGCCTTTGGCCACAAACATCTTGGCCTTCTCCGTCTTGAGCTGCTCATAGAAGGGCTCGTCCAGCGTGAAGCTGTCCATCAGGTCACAGCCCACGTACAAGCTGTAGGTCTCACCCATCACCTGCACCGTGATGTTCTTCCACTGAGAGTCTGCCAGGCCCACATCCTCCAGGGAGATGACATGCTGGGCCCCATCCATCCAGTAGGTGAGGTCCAGTGTGTCAGCCCGACCGTTGGAGACGATCTCAAACTGCCGCTGAGCATCGCCCGGGCCCTCCAGAGCCAGCAGTGTGCCCCGAGACTTCCTGTCCTGCTTCAAGCTGGCCAACAGGAAGAAGCCCTCCTTCTGCCGCATCATCTCAGCCACTTTCCTGAGGTCCTCAGCATTCACCGGGGGGATGTAGTCAAAGCGGAGGAACCGATATGCGGGCACGTTGGGGTCAGGTCCACGGAACTGCTTGGCCCCGATGGTCTTGCGGTTTATGTTGCTAATAGTGAAGAGGTTGAAGGAAGTGTCGTCATCGTGGTCACCAGCTGTCAGAGGGAAGAGCAGAGTTAGCAACAGCCAGCCAGCCAGGGTGCTCTGGTCTGTCTCGTAGAGATCACGGTTCTAAACCAACAGCTGCATGTGGCCACCCCGTACAGGACGGCTGCTTCCCTCTCTCCAGGAACACCACCAACGCAGTGTTCTGGAAAACCAGTCACCTCTGTTGGACGCCTGGGTTGAAGAGCAGTTAACTTCTCCATCACCAGCGTAAAGATTGGTGGCTCAAAGCTGCCTCGGACGAGGGACCTTGGTACAGAGCCCTGAACAACTGCTTCCAAAAGTCCCAGCCATCCAACTCTGGGAAGCATACCCTGGGCACCAAGGATCAAGGCTGCCTCAATGGCAGCTGAAGGTGGGTATCACCCCAACCCCAGGGAAGCCAGCATGTCCCAGAACAGCTGCTGGTCCTTGACGGTGGGCTCCACCCATCACAGCCTAAGGAGCTTGCGTTTTTGACCAGCAGCCACTGGTGTTTCCACAGAGAGGCTTTCTCCATGGAGAAGCAGCCTCAGCGTATGCTCTGGTACAAGCTTGTATCTTACCACAGAACAGAAGTCTGAGCCACTCTGCCCTCTCCTACGTGAGACCCACACAGACCTCTCCCAAGTGGGACCCACACAGACTTCTCCCACTCGGGACCCACACGGGCCTCCCCCATGCGGGACCCACGCTGGCCTCCCCCACGTGAGACCTGAATCCCTCTGAACCGTGTCCTAGCTCCCATTTTTGCTGTGGAGTCCAACCCAAACCTGGTTGCAGCCCTCCTGTTTATGCTTTACAGCTCAGAGGAAAAGAATATTCCAGAAAGGAAGTGCATGTTTTTCTCTGTAACTGGTACATTTCAAAGAGCAGCTGAATTGTTTCTTGTGGAGATCTTCAGAGTGCACAGCAAGGTGGGTCTGTCTGTATTTTGTGAAGATGACTCACCCCACTCTTGGAGAGTGCTTTGGGTGAGAACGTGAGCCAACCACAAGGCTATGGAATTCTCGGAGGAAAGGCACAGCTTACCCAGAGGCAGTCAACTTCACATATCCAGTTGGTTAGGTGAAGGGGTACAATGCTTGAACAAATGTTTGTCTATTGTCATCTCATAATGTAAATGGAAGTGATTTGATGTAATCAATTGATTAACTGAAAGAGGATCTTCCTTGGGTGTGTCTCCATACTATAAATAGATACTCTGGAAAAACTCACTGACTTTCCTGACTCTGCTTTTTTCTCCCATCACCTGACCATCTGATCTACAGATGCTGGGTGCAGAGCTCTCCACGTTCCCCAGGCCTCCACAGCTCCACAATTACAATTACATGAGCCAAACTTTTGGAGTCTGTTTCTTTCTCTGACTCTCAGAGTGCTGAATAAGACTGTTGTTCTTAGGTGCTGTCAAGTAAGTACCACTCACAGTGACCCTATGAACAACTGCTCTGAATCTATCCTACCTCGTATCACCCTCATAATCTATGGTACACTCAAGCCCACTGAAGCAGTCACCATTGTCAACTCACCTGGTTGAGGGTCTCCCTGTCTTTCACTGCACCTCCACTTTCCCAAACACAATGTCCTTCTCCAAAGAATTACCTTTCCTAAGATAAATCTCAATAAATGAATGGTTTTAAGTCATCTAAGTTACTGGCAATGAAAGTTATCAGATTTTATCATAATTACAACCATGTGAATAATTTAAAACAAATTTTTTAATGAGAAGTTTAAACCAAGCTTAAATTTAATCCACCACTTGATAAGTGAAGGCATTAAATACATGGTGTAGCTTACAGAAGTGTGGATTGTACTGATTTCCAACAGGGCTTTCCAGTAATACAGCAACATTCTTGATAATTTTTAAAACCTCTTCTCAGTCATTCTACTTTAGGGACATATCCTATTTATATAAGCACAAATCTGAAATAGTTCATCACCTCGATATTCACTGTGGCAACAGTTACAACAGCTTAAGTAATGGCAATAGTATCACATGACTGGAGGCCTGAGCCATCATATCAAGGGTGGGCTGAGGGGAACAGAGAGGGAGGTGGTGGCTGGGCTAGGTGGAGGTAGGGGGCTAGGTGTAAAAGGGAGTGATGGCAGAGCAAGGCAGAGGTATGTGATCAGGACATCTACATCAACGGGGTAGGGGGCGACACATGAATCTACTGGTTACTTTTGTAATGAGGATGTCTTTCATCTGCTCTTTTTGATAAAATGCTTGTCTGTCAAACATTGTTCTAAAGTCAAGCATCCAAATTAAGATGGACTAGGAAGAAAGATTGTCCATCCACTTCCAAAATAATAGGCCTTTGAAAACTCTGTACAATGGAGTACAATTAGATTAGACTAGCAAAGAGCACTGGAGGCTGAGCCCTCCAACTGGGACACACAAAGCAGGAGGAAGAGTTGCAAGCAGAGACTAGTGATTGGAACGTGGAATGCAAGTAGTATGAATGTAGAAAAACTGGGCATTGTTAAAGAAGTAGAATTCATAAATATAAACACATTAGGCATTAACATAACATATTAGGCATTGGTGAGCTGAGATGATTTAACACAGGATATTTTTAATCAGAAAATAATATAATCTACCATGCTAGAGATGAAAAAGTGAGGGAAAACATGGTCACACTCATAGCTAAAAGGACCATTTCTAGATCCATCCTGAAATACAATATTATGAGTAACAGGATAATATACATATGCATAGAAAGAAGACCTCTTAATACCACTATAACTCAAATATATGCACCAACAACCAGAGCCACAGGGGAGGAAATAGATGATTTCTACTAACTTTTGCAGTCAGAAATCAATCGAACATGCATCCAAGATGCATTAGCATTAATGGGTGATTGGAACGTAAAAGTTGGGAACAAGAAAGAGGGATCAGTAGTCAGGAAACATGGGACTTGGTGACAGAAACGAGGCTGGAGACAGAATGATAGAATTCTGCACACTCAGTGATTTATTCATTGCAGATACCTTTTATAGGAAGAACAAATGACAACCATACTCATGTATTTCAACTGATGGTATGCACAGGAATCAGACTGATTGTTGTTGTTGTTACATGTCATTGAGTCTCCTGTGACCCATAGCGGCCCTGTGTATAACAGCTCTGAGTCTTTTCCTGTACTGAGCCAGCCTCACTAATTCTGATATACCAACCCCCATTGCCCCAGTTACTGTATCAATCCATCTCATCTGGAGTCTTCCTCTCCTGTGCTGTCCCTCCACTCTTCTCAGCATGATGTCCTTATCTAAGGACCGGTCTCTCCTGGCCACATGCCCAAAGTATTTGAGATGAAGCTTCAAAATCCTAGCCTCCAAGAAGAAACTTGGCTTCACCCGCTCCAGGACAGACCTATTTGTTTTGTTGTCAGTCCATGATATATTCAAGACCCTTCTCTAGCACCTTATATGTGTGAAAAGAAATTGCCAGAGAGGCTCAATATCAGCTGTGAAAACTAGACCAGGTGCTGATTGTTGAACAGACCGTCAACTACGCACATGCAAGTTCAAACTAAAGGTAAATAAAACTAAAGCAGACCTGCAAGAATCAAAATTTGATAT